TTTTTACATGTTGACGAATTTTATACTCATGAAAGTAAAGTTATGATATCAATGTATGATATGAATGATATGGCCATTCCGGTACAATGAAATGAAATGAAATGTTATGATGTGAGCTCTTACCGGATTTTAAAGTTATGCGACGGTATGATATTCTGACACATGTTTTGAAATTATTATTCGGGATTGCACCATTAAAATCTGATATCCTTCTGAGTATTCCCATGTACTCACCCTTTTCCTACACCATACAGGTTAGATCGGGTCGTGTCGGAGCGTGATGGTTCGATGGTGTGGTTGTGCTTGCTTTTGCTGATGAAAATCTAGATTTCAACAAGTAATTTTATTTCTTTGTCATAGACATTTATTTTAAAACTGATTTATCGTTTATGTTTATTTGACATGGAGGTTTTAAAATTGAGTTTTTGGTTAAAAGTTCGTATCAAATTATCTGATTTTCCTTTAGTGTTATTTTATATTAATGGGAGCAAAAATTGTACTTAGGATTTATTGCATAGGATAGAATTAAACTTGTGCATGTGTGAATTTACTGCAGAGTGTAGTGAAAATTAGTCATATGATCGAATCAATTTATTTAATTATTTTATCAAAATTTTCTGAAATCGAATCTGCTTTTCAATAGTTGAATTCCCCAGATGCAGTTTTTGTTTGAGTTAAATATTATTTTACCCTCCAATTTTACTGAACACGTATTTAACGTAGTAATTGTTAACAAGCTATTCCATAGCATGGCAATGTAGGGTGGGAAGTTTTCTTTTAATAAAATAAGGCAAATTGTTGGCTACTTTGTCACAACTTGGGGTGTGATCCACGCATAGAGGAAAGAGAAAGTTTAGTATGCTTTGAATTGGGAATTGGTTTTGTACTATATATAATAAAATATACATGTATGTATATGGCATTCATTACTACATGTGTATGCGTGCAGTCAAATGGAAAATTATTTCACACGTTAATAAGGGATTTTATATCGAATTCTTTAAGAACAGATAAATTTTATATGCTATTTTTATGTACACGTTGAAGGATATGGCGAAGAAACAAGAGTATATCTATATATATTTTTCCTAAAAAATATATATATATAAATAAATAAACTAGTATTTACTTCTTTTTACAAATTTGAGTAAATTACATTTTTCTAATTATATATAATGGCATTCCAAGTTGTCCAAATTCAAGTGAAAACTTTGGTAGCGATTCAACCCTTTAAAAAAAATTGGATCGTTACATCTGGGCGTCCTTTCGATTTTTACGTGTTGTACGGGACGCCTAAAAGGAAGAAGAGAGTACCTCGTTCTGAAAAGTATGGATCGCCTCCAAGAATAATGCCTCCTTCCACAGGTTGGGTAACTGAAGAGGAAGCATTAGAAAATAGTAAAAGGGAAATTCAAGAGACAGAGGCTCAGTGCGATATGTTGCATGTTGACTTATCACAAAAGGATAACTCAACAGAGGACAAGCAAGAAGTAGAAATAGAGACTGCCGAAAAGGTTATTTTTAAATGGCCAGCCATGAAATTGACTAAACACTTGAGGCCATTGTACGTTAAAGCTCTAGCTAACGACATACCTGTGGCAAAAGTGCTTGTCGATAATGGAGCAGCTATAAACACCATTCCATCTAGGATGATGAGGAAATTTGCAAAGACAAAAGGGGATATGATTCCAACAGAAGTCATCCTTACAAATTTCAATGGAGGAGCAACTACAGCTAAGGGAGTTATGCCATTGGACATAACTATAAGTACAACTACTAGGACCACAGTCTTCTTTGTAATAGATGGTCCTACTAGTTACAATGTGTTACTAGGAAGAGATTGGATACACGGAAGTCACTGTATACCCTCATCGCTCTATCAATGCCTAATTTTTGGGAATAACAAGGGTGAAGCAGAGGTGGTACAGGCCGATCATAGGCCTTTTGTCGCAGAAGCAAACTCAGTGAAAAAGTTCATGTACGAAGGAAACTATGGACCTGTCAGGGTAGTACAAGATGGGGAAGAAACTCAAGTTATCGCTCAAAGCGAAGAGCCATTTTCAGTGGACGCACTCACTGAAATGTTCAGACAGATGAGGCCAAATATAGTGGCCCTAGAAAAGCCAGTAATTGGCAAAAGAATAATTAAGGAGTCTTGAATGAGTTCTAAGCAACAAGAGCAAATGGCCGATATTCAGGCCTTCAAAGCTAAATTAATGGCTTTCAATAAAGAATGCAAGGACAAGGCGAAAGAAGAGGCAGCCCTGAAAGCGCTGAAAGACAAATTAGCAGTATTCGAATTGGAACAAAGTATTGGCCGAGAAATCAACAAGGTGGATTGTTTAGAAGAAGAAATGCTTACAAGGGAGTTGGACGATGAAGTAATGCGGATCATCAAACCTCGATACGCTCAAGCACAAGACCCTCTGATTAAAGTAAATATTGGCAATGAAGGAGAAGATCGTCCAACATTCATCAGCCAGATGCTCGATCAAGAGGTTAGTGATAAATTAGTCGCTTTGTTGAAGGAGTATAAGATTGTTTTGCTTGGGAATATGAACAAATGCCTGGTTTAAATAGAGACTTGGTGGAACATAGATTACCAACTAAGCCTAATTTTAAACCTCATAGGCAACCTCCCAGACGTTTTGCTCCTAATGTACTCTCTGAGATTAAGAAAGAGATAGAGCAATTATTAAAAACAGGCTTTATTAGAACAGCCAGGTATGTCGAATGGTTGTCCAATATCGTGCCAGTACTAAAAAAGAATGGTAAACTAAGGGTGTGCATAAACTTTAGAAATTTAAACATAGCCACGCCCAAAGATGAGTATCCAATGCCCACGGTAGATTCTTTAGTAGACTCGACTGCCGGACACGTCATGTATTCTTTCATGGATGGGTATTCAAGATACAATCAAATTTATATAGTTGAGGAAGACATGCACAAAACTGCCTTTAGATGCCCTGGGTCTCTAGGATGTTTCAAATGGGTAGTCATGCCTTTCAGCCTAAAAAATGCAGGAGCAACTTATCAAAGGACAATGAATTTAATTTTTCATGATATAATAGGCAAATTTGTTGAAGTGTATGTAGATGATATAGTGGTCAAATCCATTAAAGAAGAGGACCATTTCGAACAGTTAAGATGTTCATTTGAGCGAATGAAACAATATAAGCTAAAGTTGAATCCCTTGAAATGTGCATTTGGTGTCAATGCAGGAAACTTCCTTGGTTTCTTGGTACACAAAAGAGGGATTGAACTCGATAAAGATAAAGCGAAAGCTATTCTAAAGGCCAAACCACCTAACAACAAAAAAGAATTGCAAAGATTTCTTGGCCAAGTAAACTTTTTAAGACGCTTTATTTCTAACTGTGTAGGGCGAACTAAAGTCTTTTCACCACTTTTAAAGCTGAAAAATCAGGACGAATTCGTCTGAAAAGAAGAACATCAAAAGGCTTTTGAAAGCCTGAAAACATATTTGTCAAGTCCACCAGTGTTGGTGTCACCAATCCAAGGATGGCCAATGAAAGTGTATGTATCGGCTGAAAATGAATCAATAGCTGGAATGGTCGCGCAAGAAGACCAATTTGGTGAAGAGATGGCAATTTACTACTTGAGTAGACGGTTAACAAAATGTGAATGTAATTGCTCTGCTATCGAAAAACTATGTCTTGCATTGTATTTCACATGTACAAAATTAAGGGCTTATTTACGGCCCGTAACCGTTTATTTAATTTCTAAAGTAAATTTGATTAAGTATATGTTCTTTCGCCCCATTTTACACCAAAGGATAGGCCTTTAGACGTTAGCTTTATCAGAATTTGAAATACAATACATATCCCAAAAGGCAGTCAAAAATCAGGCTTTGGCTAACTTTTTAGCCGATCATCCATGCCTTGACATGACTGAAGAAATTGAATTAGAAATCAATTCGTTCGAGCTAAAACCTTGGGTGTTGTACTTTAATGGGTCAAAAATCTCTAAAGGTGCAGGAGTAGGAGTAGCATTGATAAATCCTTTAGGGATTTGCTACAAATTCGCATTCACTTTGGATAGGATGTGCACCAACAATCAGGCCGAATATGAAACCTTAATCGTGGGCCTGGAACTAATGATAGATATGGGGGTAAAAAATATAAACATTAGAGGTGATTCTCAATTGGTAATTCACCAAATGATTGGTGATTTTAAATGCCAAAGTGATTCCATCATGAGTCAATATGAAATTGCCCAAGAGTTGTTAGAAGAATTCGACCAAGTAGAACTTCAGTGCGTTAATAGGATATACCATGATGTAGCAAATGAGTTGGCCCAGATGGCCTAAGGGTACTCGAAGGTTTTAAATTAGAAGTTTACTTGTGAATATGAAACAATATTGCCCGTGATCTAAAGAAGGGCGAGAAAGATTGAACTTCATTGCATACAAAATGGAGATGCAATGGATTGGAGGGCAGAGATTAATGAGTTCCTTAAAGAACCTAATAAAAGAGATAGCAGAAAAATGAAGTTGCGCTTGCTAAACTATGCATTGATAGATGAAGAGTTGTTCAAGAAACACTCTGATGGTATACTGCTGAAATGTGTAAGTTTGCAAGAAGCCAGGACGATCATGGCTGAAGTGCACGAAGGGATATGTGGAGCTCATCAAGCTGGCCAAAGGATGCGATGGTTAATTATTAGGAGTGGATATTTTTGGCCAAAGATGGGAGAATTGTGCGTTCAATATGCAAAGAGTTGTTTAGCATGCCAAAAGCATAGTCCAATACAAAGGGCGCCAGCACGAGAGATGGCACCTATTATTAAACCTTGACCGTTCAAAGGTTGGGCGATAGACCTGATATGGAAGATTTATCCCCCATCGTCCAAGCAACAAACTTTTATTATAGTTGCAACTGATTATTTCACTAAGTGGGTAGAGGCGGTACCTTTAAAGGAGATCACCCAGAAGAATGTCATAGAATTTATCCGTGATCACATCATTTATAGATTTGGAATTCCACAAACTTTGATGGTAGATCACGGGACATCTTTAAATGGGGATCAAGTGAATAAATTTTTGAGCGAGTTTAGAGTTAAATTAGTAAACTTCACGCCATATTACGCTCAATCCAACGGACAAGTAGAATCTTCTAATAAGATTCTAAAAAATATCATAAGGAAAAAATGATAGATGAAAATGCCAAAAATTGGCACGAATGTCTGAACAAAGCCTTATGGGCTTATAGGACATCGCCTCGGTCAAGTACCAAAATTACTCATTTCCAACTTACTTATAGACAGGAGGCCGTTTTGCCTATGAAAATTAACGTGCAATCAATCATAGTGTGTTTGCAA